TGCTATCTTGTATTTACTAGATATTTGCCTGCTACTTACCAGTAATGTATCTGGTGTGTATCTGGTAGTTACCAGATATGTATCCAGTATGCACAGTGAAGTACAATGTACATTCCCTGTAAGTACTAGTAAGTACCTTGCAAGTACAGGGCAACAAGTTACCTTATGATACAGCCTAGTCCCCATAGGTATCAGATGTATATCTGGATGCCCCACGTAAGTACCAGTATGTACTTTACAAGTACAGTGTAACAAGTCACTTCAAAATACAACACGGTCCCCACAGGTACCAGATACACGTATCTCATGCAATTAATTAGTGCTCAGAGTATGTGATGGAGGTTACATTCAGCTACAAAGGAACAACATTTTTTGTTCAACATGTAAAATTGGATGAGTTATATAAGTTTTTGTGTTTGCTAAGTTTGTGTACTTGGGTGGCCATTTAGCATGGAATTAACTTTAAAAGGTAATATGCTGTAGATACACATCCAATGATAACGTTCTGAAACTTGAGACTACCGTCTTCTTGCATGGTTGGAGCTATGACCTGCACGTTGAAGGAGTGATCCCAGAGTCTGAAGGGATGAACCTGACCCAGGTTCTGATCCTCGTGACCTGACGTTTGTTCCCGAGGCTGTTAAAATACAAGTTTTACAATGGATTCAAAACTCCAAGATGACCTGTCACCCAGGTACTAACTGCATGTCGACCTTTACTCAAAGGCACTTTGGGTGGCCTGCCATGTCTCGTGATGTCAAAGAGTTTGTTTCTGTCTTGTGCACGCAGTAAGGATGGCAACCAACACCTTTCTAGCCTCCTAGATCCGTTACCTATTCCCAGCTGTCCCTTGTCGCATAGCCATCGACTTCATCACACGTCATCCACCCTCTGCAGGTAACACTTTCCATGATGTTGTCAGTCTCTTTCTTTAAATCTGGCCGTTGGTTCATGAGATATTTTTGTAACGCTACAGACAAATGAACCAGTGGTGTAGTTTACACATTTGTAGTGGGTATGTTGTGCTTAGAAACCAAAGTACACTGGTTAGTACAATGTAACCATACATTTATTTCGATTTAAGCACATTGAACATTTCCAAATTTCTCTGATGCTTATATTTGACTAAATATACAACAAAATTTGTACAACAGTTGGCTTTGCATTAAAAAAAACATGTTATATAATTTATAAAACAGTATCAAAGCGAAGCAAGTTCAAGTATTAAGTAGTAAGTACAGTATTATACAATAATTCGCTGGATAAGCGAATGTAAAAAACAATCGCTGCATACAGACAGATTTTTACGGAAGCGTTTAATTACCGTTTAATGTATCAATGACACATGCCTAATGATATGTCATGTATCACTGGGCACTTTTAAATGGGTATACTGAAATTCTTGAGCTTTTCTAGTGGGTATACTCTGTACACCCATGCATCGCATAGACTACACCACTGAAATGAACCCTTTCACCTTCGGAAGGTGGAGATATTTAAAATGCTTATCTTTAATTCTGGCATCACTGGATAGTTCTTCCTACAGTCATTTGCCTCTGATTTTATTAGCTTTGTGAGCTGGCTGTTGCTTCAGCAAGCATTTTCCCACCTAACAACCATTCTGTTGCTTTAAAGAGAACTTCACAAGCACGAGTTAAAGTCTGAAATGCAGCTTCCTGTTGAATAAAACAAGAACAGTTTTGAAAAGAATATGGGTGTGGGAGTCTTTTCTCATAGATCTAACCTTATGGGTAAGGCTGCATGATGTCACCCTCTCACATCTTCAACAGCCTATTATGGAAAAACAATCTTCAGAAACCCCAATCTCAACGGAGTGGACTTCCTCCAACAAGCGAGCACCAGTCCACCACACCAGTCCACCACCCACTACACAAGGACAGGACGTAACACTTCTCCAACTGATTTACATCTAAATAAATACAGGCCGAGACGAAACAATGTGCAGACCCAAAGGAGGAACCGGCGTCTCTCTGCCCAGCAAGTTCGATTTATATCAGCCGATCGGGCCAAGCTGCAGGGCACGATAAGACGGGAGGGACTGTTGAGTTACAGCATTGTGCTGCTCCTCTGGTTTGTGGCACAATCTGAAGGGAGCACAAAGAAACTGCAGCAGAAAGACAATAATTTAAAGATAAAATATTTTTCCCTTCATAGCAATCAGAATAAATTTATCTAACTTGACATCTGACTCATTCCTCTATAAAGGATTTTAAAAATTATCTGGAAATCATGCATGAAATCAATTAGTTTTTATGAATGTTAAGGTGGGTTCACAGATTTCCCGCAATTTTCTTTGACATTTGTAATTTGATAAAACAAAAACGTTGCCACAAAATGTCTCCTCTAAAAGGTGGGAAGCTGCGAAACAAGTAAGTCAAAACTGAATACTATAGTTTTATTCATTATTAAAATAAAATAATGCAAACACTGCACGGCAAACTTAAAATCAGTAAATATTTTTAAACTATAAATGTGTTTTTAAACTCGTGAATTTGGTCTATTTAGTTAAATAAATGCAAAAACACTGCTGCAATTTGAAAAAAAAAAAAAAAGTTTTTTTTTTTAGATGTTTTGTATAGGAACAAATGCTTTGAGGTGATTTTGTGAATAATAACTGACACACGTTTTTAAAAATTACCATTCATATATAACATAAATGGAAAATAAAGTTGAAAAAATGTTTTGGTTTAAAAAAAAAAAACATTATCCAGATAATATGATCACTCATGATGAAAATTATGACCCAATGCTCAAAATCAAAGTTACATCACTACTGCAGAAATACACATGTTTTTATATGCATGTATACAAACACTGTGACTTGTTAATATTATGGAATTATTTAAAAACCAAAAGCTGCAGAACAGGGGGAGCTTTGTGGACAGACAGGAAGATTCTGTCTGTCCACGTTTGGCGCTGGACTGAGCCTCGGTGAAGTCTGGCCTACATCAGCTGTACACAGACAGTAATTGGTCGTGACTGAAATGTCGCTTCACACACATGTTCTTAGGAGAACACGGATCAACACGTTATGGGTGCCCCACGATCTCACCGCAGAGCTGATAAGACTTCTGGAAAAACCTCTTTGTAGGTCGATGCTCACATGGGGCCCTGGAGAGGATGCAGGATTAAAATTCACCCTGCAGAAAACAAAGCATAACTTCCTTAGATAAAGCTGTTTTTTTTTTGTTTTGTTTGTTTTTTAAATTTTAAAGCATTTGGCTGACTAAAAGCTTAAACTAGCTAAACAAAAGCTAAAACTAATACAATGTTAGCTTTAAGTAGCAAAATGTAAGCTAAATTTTTGTTGAAAGTAGCAAAACTCTAGTCAAATAAAACACAGACTAAAAGTAGCAAACACTGACTACACGTAGCAAAACATTAGCCAAAAGCAACAAAACACTAGCTTCAAGTAGCAAAACACTAGCCAAATGCAGTAAACACTGGCTAAAAGTAGCAAAGCCATTGCCGAAAGTAGCAAAACACTAGCCAAACGCAGTAAACACTGGCTAAAGGTAGCAAAACACTAGCCAAAAGTAGCACAACAATAGCCAAAAGAGTAGCAAAACACTAGCCAAATGCAGTAAACACTGGCTAAAATTAGCAAAACACTAGCCAAATGTAGTGAAACACTAGCCAAAAGAAGCAAAACACTAGCCAAAAGTAGCACAACATTAGC